GGCCAACTCACCATGGTTTGGCCAGAAATTGCCTCGAAAGTGACGGTTTCCTCGTCGGAAGTTTGGGGAAGTCTCCCCGACGTGTTTTCATGTCCAAACCTTCACCAAAATCACATTTTAGCAACCATGAATCCTTCTAGACTACTAGGGAGAAAGATGGAAGGGTGTTTTGACCTACCTTCGTCGAAAACGACAATAACTCGTTGGGGAATATTTGCACCGTGGTGAGAAGGAAAGAGAGTGGAATCAAAGGGTGGTGTCGTCGTGTTATTTTGCATGTGCATGGGTGTGCGTATGTGTGGTACCTGGGGAGGAGGAGAGAACACACAGAGAGACTCAGGGGAAAAAGAGGAAAAGGAAGAGTGAGAGAAGGAAAGAGAGACCGAAAGAGAGACCAAGAGAGAGAAAGAGAGAGAAAGAGAGAGAGAGAGAGACTTTTCAGAAAAATAAAAGAAAATAGAAAGAGAATCGGGGGACAAAACAGGGGGTGGGCCCTTGGGCACACCATTTAAGACCCAAAACCAATTTTAAAAGCAAGACAAACTCAAACTTAGTGAAGATACAATTTAAATTAGGGATGGGTGTAACAACTTCTTCCACACCTTTTTAATTTTTTAATATTTTTCTATCAAGTATTAGTGATGTGTAGAATATCAAAAAATATTAAAAAAATAAAAAGATGTGAAGAAGTAATTTAGAGTGTGTGAATATAATTTCTCATAATAAATAAGGAGTTGTTGCACCCAAAAAGGTCCGTTAAAGTTGTTCTCATATATTATTTTCATTGAGATTGCTAGCTCGAACTAATGTACTCACAGAAGATACTGTTAGGGAAATTCACGTGTCTACCCTAAAGATAACGTTATTCGTGGGCCCACACCAACTAAGTAAATTGCCTATATTGGGATTGGTGAAACTGGGCTAATGTGGTCCCACTACAATGGTGGTCTCGCTTAGTTGTGTGAATGTGTGTATGGATGACACAGTCCCCTAAGTGGACACAAGATTTTCCTGTAATGCCATGGCTGATAACTGTCTGCATTGGGCTTTCTCAAAATTTTGAGATGCTACATGCTTGAGTCTCTGCCAATATTTGGTGACAAATTGGTCTTTGAAGATATTTATAGGGCTCTTAAGCATGGTTGTAGTCTTAAGTCACATTCATAATCAAGAGATGGATACGAAAATTCTACTCTGCTATGCATTGAGATTTTTGTTATGTTGTACCTTCATTGCTTGTATTTCCACGGCGTCTCACACTATCTCTCCAGGCCAATCTCTTTCCGGGGGACAAACTATCACCTCTCCAAGTGGAACGTTTGAGCTAGGTTTCTACAAGCCAGGTATACCTTAAAACTATTACATAGGCATTTGGTACAAAAATCTAACCATTAAAACCGTAGTTTGGGTCACAAACAAAAAACCACCTGTTTCTGAACCGAAACTCTGTATTAGAAGTTTAGAACTTGTCGACAATGGAAACTTGGTCTTAAGTAGCCCCCTCCAATGTTGAAATATGGTCGACTAATTCAAGATCATCAAAGGTCGCTAATTCTAGTGCAGCAAAGCTTCTTGACAATGGGAACTTTGTTATTAACAGATGCATTCGATTCATCCGTTGTTATATGGCAGAGTTTCAATCACCTGACGAATACTTGGTTGCCGGGTGCTGTTAGATACAATAATCGAACCAAGAGAAAAACAAGTTCTTGGAACCCCGAGAAACCTGGAAAATCCTGCACCTGGTCCTTTTTTTTTTTTGAGCTAGATGAATTACCTTTTAATTTGTCTAACTATCTTGGTACCTTTACTAAAGCCACGCTTGAAATAAATGGTCAGCTCAAGTTTTATGCCTGGTACCAAGACTGCAGGACATGGAAATTGATTTCAACTGAACCATCAAACCAATGGGAGGTCAATGTGTCATGTGGTACTTTTAGTATTTGCGACCAGCGGTGGTATCCTCATTATCGTTGCCTCGAAGGATTTGAACCCAAAGTTAGGGGAAATTGGAGACTAAAGGAATTCTCAGATGGCTGTGTGAGGAAAATTCCTTTTCACTGCAGTCCTGGGGACTCTTTTTTGGTGATAACTGATGTTGCATATCCTCAGAACTTCAAGGAAATTTTCCATGTGAGCATTGATCAATGCAGATTAGAATGCTTAATAAATTTCTCATGCATTGCCATTGCGTATACTTTTTCAGATAGTCGTCGGTGTTACATGTGGACAAGGGATCTATATAATATAAGGACAACACCATACGGATTCGATTTCATAAGTTATTCTCCAAACAACACATGATTGCATCTTCGGATTGTGGATTCTAAAAATAAGACGACAAGAAATACTACTTGGATTGCAACGAGAAAGAATAATTGGATTGTAATTGGAGTAATTGTAGGGTTTTTTTCCATCTTAAGTATAACTTTCATTGTCATGGTGTTTTTTAGAAGGAGATGGTCAGCGGGAGCACTGGCGACTACTGGCGATTCTTTGGTGCTTTACAAGCATAGAGATTCAAGAAGAGCAACATAGAACTCTTCCCAAAAACTCAGGGAATGAGCCTTTGGTTCTGTATTCAAGGGGATGTTGCCTAATTCAACAGCCATTGCAGTGAAGGAGCTGAAAAGTATGAACCAAGGAGAGAAACAATTTCGTGCTGAAGTGGGAACTATCGGTGTAATCCAACACATTAATCTTATTCGCATGCGGGGATTCTGCGCGAACGAAAGAGGTTTTTAGTTTATGACTGTTGAAAATCAACACCAGCCCAATTGGTGTGGCCTAAGACAAGTGATCCAATCCAAAACCAATGCATGCAAAAGCTAGAAAAATCTAGCAATCTTTATCGGCAAAAGTAGCTGGAAGATTCAAACAATTTAAGTTGGTTATCCACCTAAATATCTAAGCTAAAGAATGTATTAGAAGCTAGGAGAACTCAAAGCCTTTTAGAAAAACAAGTCGATTTGTTATGTGTGTAATAATATGCTAGAAAATTCTAGCATTATTTATGTCGGCAACCACACCTATAAATAGGTGTGTGTGTGTGTGTGTGTGTGTGTAAGCTTGTAACAAAGTGTGAAAGCAATCAAGAAGAAGAAGAAGTAAGAGAGAGCCAAGTAAGAGTGAGAAGTAAGGGTAGTCTTGTAGGATTGTGAGTGTTCTAGTGAAAGAGTGTCCTTGAAAGTGTGTATTGTAATATTTTGTGAGTATAATACAAGTAATTTGTTTACTTGTGTTGTTTCTCCAACACTTGTGTTAGAGTTGTGTACTCTAAATTTTTCCTAACAATTGGTATCAGAGCGGGACGGTCAGGGATCGTTCTTGGTGGAGCTATCTTGAGTCGTGAGGAGTTTGGTACTCTGCAAGTTTGTTAGTCAAGCTTGATCGGTATAGTCGAAGTCTTGCCGGCACGATAGGTGACCTTCAAGTAGTTGGAGGAATCAAGAAGCTCAACAACAAAAACTGCAATACGTGGGCAACATGTATGGAATCTTACTTACAAGGTCAGGACCTTTGGGAGGTTGTCGGTGGTGGTGAGGTTACACAACCGGCGGCAGAAGATGCCAATGGCATCTTGCGAAAGTGGAAAATTAAAGCAGGCAAAGAGATGTTTGCTTTAAAGACCACAATTGAAGAAGAAATGTTGGAGTACATCCGGGATGCCAAAACGCCAAAGGAAACATGGGACACTTTTGTTACACTCTTTTCAAAGAATTTGTTTACTTGTGTTGTAATATTTTGTGAGTATAATACAAGTAATTTGTTTACTTGTGTTGTTTCTCCAACACTTGTGTTAAAGTTGTGTACTCTAAATTTTTCCTAACAATGACTACATGCCAAATGGTTCTTTGCAATCTCTTCTACTTGGAAAGAACCCGATAATCTTAGATTGGAAGGCTAGATATCACATTGCAGTAGGGACTGCCAGAGGATTGGCTTACCTCCATGACGAGTGCAGAGACTGCATAATACACTGTGATGTTAAGCCGGAGAACATCTTGTTGGATTCAGAATACAGTCCAAAATTGGCGGATTTTGGTCTTGCGAAACTCTTGGGGAGACACCACAGCCGGGTTTTGACAACCATGAGAGGAACTGTGGGGTATCTCGCACCAGAATGGTTTTCGGGTGAAGCCATCACGCCAAAAGCCGATGCCTTCTGCTAATTGAGGTCATATCAGGGAGGAGAAACAGAGAGGGGTTAGATGACGGGGTAGAATACTTCCGTCCTTATTGGGTTGCGAATGCAGTTAATAAAGGGGAAGATCTTTTCGCCTAGTTAGATTGCAGATTGGAAGGCCAAGCTGACGGAGATGAACTGAGTAGAGCATGCAAAGTGGCTTGCTGGTGCATCCAAGAAGATGAGAAAGATAAGCCAACAATGAAGCAGGTGGTTCAAATTCTTGAGGGAGTTTCGGCATCGGTGTTCCGCCAGTACCGCAGTTCTCAGAGGCCCGTCAGAAGGCATTAACTACCAGGCGACTACGTCCTGTTCAGGTTCATGGTCATGCTCCAATGTCCAAAGTGCGTTTCAAGCCCAAGTCAGCAACTGTGCAACGAAAAGTCATGAGGATGAGATGTAGAACGCGAGGGTTCTTGTATTATTATTGTATGAACAAGCTTGTCTTGGAGTTGGAGGTAGTAAGTTTTTGAATATTTCCAGTTATGTTGGTTATGTAATGAGATAATAAATAAAGGAAATAATTTTCGCATTCACCCACCAATCCACCCGCCAACCCATTTCTTCGTTTTTGCTTCCTAATTTTGCTTGAATTTATTCAATTTAACCGATAAAAAGAGGAGTTGCAGCATACTGTTTAGTAGAAAAAAGAACCCTGAAGACAAATAAGATGTTAATACAACAATTAGCTAGTAGGAAGTACCAGAAAGTGTCACTGTATTAAACACCAGGCCCCTGTTTATAGCACAACGAAATGCAAGGGATGGTTTCTCCAACCAAGTCCTCTTTTGCAAAGACCGTCAATGAGGATGCTTTAACTGACTATATTCGGAGAGACGCTTTTAAGCATCTCTTCGAGTAGTTCAAGGGCACCTTTCGTGTTTTCAGACTTGAAATAACCGTCAATCAGACAACTATATGCGACCACATTAGGTTCAGGACCCTTTTCCAGCATTGTATTGATCATCAACATTGCATCTTCCATTTTACCTTCTTAACAAAATGCATCAATCAATATAGTGCAAGTAATGGCATTGGGTTTGCACTGCCCCTGTATCATCTCTTCAAAAAGTTGAAGAGCCACATCTAACCTTCTCTGAGAGCAATAACCACAAATCACTGTGTTGAATGTAACAATATCAGGTTCCGGACCACTTTCAGCAAGCTGCTCAAAGACTTCCTGCGCAGCGTCTTCTTTGAAAATCATATAAATTAATGAGGATATTATAAGTGGCAAATCGGGATTTACTCCATTGATTCGCATCATCTAAAAAATCCAGAGTCCAGCCAGCACATGTTTCTGCTTGCAGCAACCATCAATCAGTGTGCAATATGTTTACAACATCGGGTAGGAAACACCCTTCTTTACTGATTGGAAGAAAAACACCAACGCATCGTTTAATCACCCTAGTTCAGAAATACCCTTAATAAGCACGGTATACATCACCAGATCTGGTTTTATGTTATAAATTCCCATTTGAATGTACACCTTCACAGCATCGCTCAATTGTTTCAATCTGCAGCAACCATCTATTAACATGTTGAAAGTACAGACATTGGGCTTAACTCCCCCATACACAGCTTGAAAGAAGAACTTAAGAGCATCAATCATCAGCCCATTTTTGCAAAGGCCATTTAATAACACACCGTGAACAATAATATCAGTTTCATAGCCCGTTTTGATCATACGCTCATACAGCTGACCACATTTGGCTCCGGACCAACCCTTAGTAATAGAGTAAAGAAATCTCCGTTGCCTCCTATCTGATTTTCTTTACAAAGACGTTTTAGAGTCTTGTTAGAAGCAACAATGTCAAGCACAGAGCCTCTGTCGATCAATCATAACACAAACTCATACACAGAAAACTGTTGGCCTCTCAATGCATTACAGATTTCTCCATATGTATGGAGAATCACGTGGACACGGTCCGAATCAACCAAACAAGTCAGCATTCTAGACAACGCATACGGAGACACCGGAACTCCCAATTTATACATACGAATGAATGTATCAACAGACGAATCCAACATCCCATTTCGACAAAAAATCTCGATCAGAAACCTACAAACGAGACTATAAACGCAACTGTGGTTCTGAAAACAATCAGAAAATGCATCAAAGAAGTGAAACTGAGTCCCGAACTGGCCTACCGATGTTTTTGAAAAGGCGGGAAACCGGAGCGAGCATCCGGTGCCGGAGCAGCAGATGAAGGAGGGCGCAGAAGGACTGCGGGTGGTGGTGCAAGCCGAGGGAGCCGCAGGCCCAATCGAGGAAGCGGAGGGCGGTAATGGGGTTGGATTGGAAGGAGAGGAGGATGGGGTGGAGGTGGTGGAGGTGGTGGGGTTGTAATTTGGAGTGAAAAAGAGGGTTTAAGAGTTTGGGGTGGTCTTGGAGGAAGGCGTTGGAGATGTGGTGGATCTGGGTTTTGGATGAGAATAAGGGCGAAGTCGAGTAGGGAAGGAGAAAGCGGCACGCGACGTTGAAATTGTCGGTGTTTGGGGACTTGAAGTCGATAAAGTCGATGGGGGTTCAGAGGAGAAGCACTTGCCAGCATGACATACGTTGCTCAGGTCACCGTCACCACCATCACCAAGGGCCAGTTGCATGGTTATAGGTGTGTGCCCATTACCTGTTTGATGAAATGCCCAGAAAATTATATGATTTGTTCATAGAAAGAAATGGTCTTTTGAATTTTTATTTAAGTGATACATTACTATTTAATATTGAAATTCTAATTTGGTGGATTCACTTGTAGCAGTTTAATTTTAAAATGTATCCCCATAAACTCAAATAAATAAATAAATAAATAAGGTTTAAACGAAAAAAAGCAAATGATCATTTTGCTGGCGTCGAATGTCTGGAGAACGTGATGAATTACTTTCTATGTTTTGGGTTCAATGAGATGAAATTATCTTTACTGGTGAATTAAGTGGTGGTACTTGTTATGAGATTGAGAACTTGTTCTATAACATGACTGCCCGGAGGAAGATGTTACAAAATTCTGCTGATGGTTACTCAAAGATTGTAGATTTGCTAAGCCGGTTTGCAATTCATCATATGAATGTTGGCTTCTCCCGCAGAAAGGTAGGTTGCTGTTTAACTAAGAAACTCGTCTTTCTTACTTCACCGATCTTTTTCATGGCTAGAACTAACTGCAAATTCACAAATTAAATCTTTTTGTGTGCTATTACTATTGGCACAGAGCTGCCAGAGTAGATGTTAATTCTGCTTCCATGACATCACTGATTGATGCAATTCGTTCAGTTTATATGGGGTGTCAGTTGCTCAGTCTGATGAAAGTAGATGCTTCAGGTAAAGATTCTTCTAGCTCAGTTTTCAAGATGGATGGCTTTATCTCCGATTCCAATGATTTTGAGTACTGAAGCAGTCTCAAACAAACCCTAAATTTAAATAACGGAGTCATCTCTTCAATTGTTGTTTACTTTATAGATCTTCTTTGAACAATCTTTAAAGATTGGGATTGAAAGAGAATTAGATTTCTTGCTTCCTTGAGGCCGTCTTTGTTAAAACAATTTACAGATTTCTTTTGGTGCCATTCATCTTGATTAGTCTGTAGCCTTGTAACGAGTGTGGCGGCCTGTTCTTGCATCTTTTTGTTTGATTTGGTCTAAGCTTTCCGTGTTTTGTTTTGTTGTAGGTTTGTTCTTATGGATTCTTGTCCCTCGCCTGTTGTAGTTTATACTTCCATCTTCTATAAATTTTCGTTTCCTATCGAATAAATTGTTTCTGAAGACAAGTTTACTAATACATGAATTATTTCTCAATGAAATTACAGCGAAGAGCTCATGTATCAGCAAGTTCTGCGTAGGTTTGCCTATTTTAATGCTATACAAATAAGTGAGCCCGCCCCGCTGAAGGAGTTGATCGTGTTGGCACTAAAAGAGGGGGAGGATCCGGAATGCAGTGTGAATAATGAACCGAATGAGAAGATTGCAGAGGTAATGTATGTGATCTCTGTTCCAATATAGTCATATGTTAAAGTACTGTTCAGTCCTATAAAATGATTTTAAATTTTTAGAAGTTGGTTTTTGCGTGAGGGCGTCAGGTAGTCGACAGCCGGCACTCCATGATCACGTCGAATCCTTATGAAAATGAATCCAGAACGAAATCGCGCTAAAGCTAGGGCGTCACCCGTAAGTGGCGCACTGTGTGGCCTGAGCACAGTGATAAGTGAGTAAGGGTCGCTGTATCTCCATCGGCACCCGGATACAGTGTTAAATGAGCAAGGGGGCTATAGAAACTTCTTTTCGAACGACTCCACTTAAAGTTGTTTGGGAGCATATGCTCCTATCAACTTTACACGGGACACACAAAAGAAGTACTTTGATCCTATTAGACGGGGAAGGGTGAAGAAGCTAGGACAGAAGGGTAGAGTTCAAGAGAGCAAAATGCGTTTAGGAACGTGGAATATAGGAACCTTGACGGGAAAATCTATGGAAGTAGTAGAAGTTATGGTGAGGAGAAGGATAAATATTATGTGCCTACAAGAAACTATGTGGGTTGGTCGTAAGGCAAAGGATCTAGAAAACTCAGGGTTTAAACTATGGTATTCGGGCACAAATAAAACGAGAAACGGTGTTGGCATCATCGTGGACAAGACCTTGACACAAGATGTTGTAGATGTCAAGAGGGTAGGAGATAGAATCATGGCAATCAAGATTGTAATAGGACAAGAACTTATCAATGTGATTAGTGCGTACGCACCTCAAGTAGGGTTGGATACGAGTTCGAAGGAGAAATTTTGGGAAGACCTTGGAGACTTGGTGCAAGGAATTGCTCAGACGGAGAAGTTATTTATAGGAGGAGATTTAAATGGACACGTGGGCAGGGAGACAGGCAACTATGGAGGTTTTCATGGTGGCCATGGTTTTGGGGAGAGAAACGAGGATGGGGAAGCTATCTTGGATTTTGCAATGGCATATGATCTCTTCTTAGCCAACACCTTCTTTAAGAAGAGAGAAGAACATGTGATCACCTACAAGAGTGGGTCGTCAAAAACATAAATAGATTTTCTTCTAATGAGGAAAGGGGATCGTATAACTTGTAAGGATTGCAAAGTTATACCAGGAGAGAGCGTGACTAATCAACATCGCTTGTTGGTGATAGATGTACATATCAAAAGAGTGAGAAAAAAGAACAAGACTTGGAAGTGCCCAAGGACTAGATGGTGGAATCTAAAAGAAGAAAAACAAGCCATTTTCAAAGAGAAAGTAATCACCCAGTGTGTGTGGGATAGAGAGGGGGAAGCTAACCAAATGTGGGATTCCATGGCTAGTTGTATCCGAAAAGTAGCAAAAGAGGTATTAGGAGAGTCCAAGGGCTTTGCCCCACACCAAAAGGAATCTTGGTGGTGGAATGAGGAGGTACAAGCAAAGGTGAAGGCTAAGAAGGAATGTTGTAAAGCCTTTATACAAGGATAGGACCGATGAAAATGGTGAAAGGTATAGAAAAGCGAAGCAAGAGGCGAAGAAAGCTGTGAGAGAAGCTAAGTTAGCGGCTTATGACGATATGTATAAGCGACTAGATACCAAAGAAGGAGAGTTGGATATCTATAAACTAGCTAGAGCAAGGGAAAAGAAGACAAAGGACCTAAACCAAGTGAGGTGCATGCATCAAGGATGAGGATGGAAAGGTTCTTGCTACAGAGAACGCGGTTAAAGACAGATGGAAAGGTTATTTTCATAATCTTTTCAATGAAGGACATGAAAGGAGTGCTTCTTTAGGGGAGTTGAGTAACTCAGAAGAGTGTAGAAACTACTCTTTTTATCGTAGAATCCGGAAGGAAGAAGTGGGTGTAGCTTTGAAGAAGATGAAGCATAGAAAAACAGTAGGCCCAGACGATATATACCAATCGAAGTGTGGAAAGTTTTGGGAGAGACAGGTATAACATGGCTCACTGACCTTTTCAATAGGATTTTGAAAACGAAGAAGAAGATGCCGAATGAGTGGCGAATGAGCACTTTGGTGCCTATCTACAAGAATAAGGGCGATGTACAAAATTGCATGAACTATAGGGGAATTAAGCTAATGAGTCATACAATGAAGCTCTGGGGAGAGAGTCATTGAGCATAGATTGAGGCAAGAGACACGGGTTTCGGATAACCAATTCGGGTTCATGCCAGGGCGCTCAACCATGGAGGCAATCTATCTCTTACGAAGATTGATGGAAAGATATAGAGATGGGAAAAAGGATTTACACATGGTCTTTATAGATTTGGAAAAAGCGTATGATAGGGTCCCAAGAGACATTCTTTGGAGGATTTTAGAGAAGAAAGGAGTACGAGTAGCATATATCCAAGCTATACAGGATATGTATGAAGGAGCAAAGACTGCCGTAAGAACTCATGAAGGACAAACCGAAAGCTTTCCCATAACTGTAGGACTACATCAAGGCTCATCCTTAAGTCCTTACCTTTTTGCGTTGGTAATGGATGAGTTAACAGGACATATTCAAGGTGATATTCCTTGGTGTATGCTTTTCGCAGACGATATAGTGTTGATAGATGAAACTCAGGAAGGGGTAAATGCAAAGCTTAACCTTTGGAGAGAAGTGTTGGAATCTAAAGGTCTTCGCCTAAGCCGATCAAAGACAGAATATATGGAGTGCAAGTTCAGTGCAAATGGAGGCCAAAACGAGTTAGGGGTGAGGATCGGAGATCAAGAAATACCAAAGAGCGACCGTTTTCGTTACCTAGGATCTATCTTGCAAAAGAACGGAGAATTAGATGGAGATCTCAACCATAGAATACAAGCTGGATGGATGAAGTGGAAGAGTGCATCCGGCGTGTTGTGTGACCGCCATATGCCACTGAAGCTCAAGGGAAAATTTTATAGGACGGCAATAAGGCCGGCGATGCTGTATGGCACAGAATGTTGGGCGGTGAAGCATCAACACGTACACAAAATGGGGTGTAGCGGAGATGAGGATGCTTCGTTGGATGTGTGGGCACACGAGAAAGGATAAGATTAGGAATGAGGATATCCGGGGTAAAGTAGGAGTAGCCGAAATTGAAGGAAAGATGAGAGAAAATCGGTTACGGTGGTTTGGACATGTGCAAAGAAGGCCTACTGACGCTCCGATTAGAAGATGCGACTATGGGACAGAGGTTCAGGGCCGAAGGGGCAGAGGAAGACCTAGGAAAACTTTGGAAGAGACCCTAAGAAAAGACTTAGAGTACTTGGATCTAACGGAGGACATGACACAGGACAGAACACAATGGCGTTCTAAGATTCATATAGCCGATCCCACTCAGTGACTTGGATTTTCCAAGTCTCCAACCGAGAAGTTTTCCTCACTCGGGAAATTAAGGGAACACTACCTCAACCTATATGCTCCACTCACAAAGCTTCAACATACAAGCTTCAACAAAAGAAAATTCAAAGAACTTAGCGAAGAAGGCTTTGGTGTATTTAACACAATACGTTGAAATGAAGGAAAGCTTATTTATTGATATCCCCGATAAGTTACAAATATGTACATATACTTGAGTCAAAATAAACAAACAAGAGGGAGCCTTCACAAAGGTTGCTTAGGAGAAGTCTCAGCAGTCGGTAGAGCCCCAGAAAGAGAAGGCACCGGAGGGGGATCATTCGGAGCCTCAGTATTGGACAAAACCCTAGAAGGAGGAGGCATCAGAGATTGATCATTTGGAGCTTCATTACGCGGTACAGCCCCAGAAGACGAAGGCAATAAATGCCTTTGGAACAAACCCACAAATCTCTGATGATCAAGTAAAACCTGACCATCAGATTCCTTCATCTGGTCAAGCTTCCTCTTCATGTTTGTAGCATAGTCATGTGCGAGCCGGTGCAACTGTTTATTCTCATGCTTGAGCCCTCTAATCTCTTGTTTGAGACTCATCACTTCAGCCGCCAATGATTCAACTTGGCGGGTTCGAGCAAATAGGCGTTGGGCCATATTAGACACAGAACCTGCACACTGAACACTGAGAGCCAGAGAATCCTTAACAGACAACTCATCAGACCGTTTGGAAAGTAGTCTGTTATCTTTGGGAGTGAGAAGGTTCCTGGCCACTACCGCAGCGGTCACATCATTCTTCATCACGGAATCCCCAACGGTAAGAGGACCAGTAGGGGAGACGAAGGATGGGCGCCATATGTTGTCTGGAGAAGGCGGGGCTGCCTCTTCAACAAGGTTCAAGTCAAAACGACGGTCGGAGGGGCCAGACATTTTCAAAGGTGTTGAAGAGACAAGAGGTCGGACAAATCAAGATCTTAGAAGTGCAAGAATGGAGCTTCTACTGGTGGATATTCAAGTGTGCTTTGGAACTTAATGTCAGCCCCTATAAAAATCTGCACTCGACGAAGCTTCAGAAATCGAAGAAAGGCGGCCTTGCTCAGAGTCGCTGTCAGAGCCTGAAGCTTCAGAGAAATAGAAACCATTCAGAGCTTTCATCTCAAAAGCACTCAGGGCGAATTATCCAAATTTGAAGTTTCTGACCTAGTTGAACACATGTACTGTTTCAAGCTCCACTTCCCATTCAATCATTGTGTACGAGAATTGCATGGTACACACTATTAGTTTTGCCTCTCTCTACAATAATTTTGAATTGGGGCTAGCTACTTAATCCACTAAGGGTTTAATTAAGAACACTACGAATACTGGTAATTTCAGGCAGTTACTTTTTGCTCTGCTAAGGTAATAGCATTATCACTGTAAAGTCCATTCTCTACAAATCTGTTTCGTGAACTTATCCCTAACTTAAGTATTTCTATGCCAAATATTTAATTTCGAATGAGGAACATTTACTTGCTTCTTGAATCTCGAAGCCAGATCTCCATATCATTGATATTTTCTCAAAAATCGAAGAGAGGGTAAAGAACAGTACCACTGCTTGATAATTGAAAGTTCCTGTGTGTCAACTGTGCTTCGTGGCAAGGTAGACTAGCAAAATGCATGCAACCTTTTACTCTCATTCGATTGAAAACATTTTCTCCAACAAGATTCTCTCTATAAAATCGAACTTTGAGTGCATCCGCCAACTCCGATTATCTCTCAGAGAAACACTCCCATATGTTACTCTAAAATCGAAGAGACACTCGCTCTCGAATCTCGAGAGCCAGACCCCCAGATTTGCTTTTCTAAAAATCGAAGAGGCATCGTTCTCCGAATCTCGAGAGCCAGACCCCGACAGGTCTGTAATCTTCACACGCACAATCAGCTTTCCAGACACCACAAACCACTTTTTCAAAGTGCTCTGACAGAGTTAAAACATGTGAAGCTGGCAGCTCCCACTACCGTGCTATAACCAAGCAGGGTAAAGGATAGCATTATTACTTGATGTTGACTCCTATATATATGTCGACTTCCATCCCTAACGGACAGGCAGACTTGCAAAAATGCTCAACCCTTTCTCTTATCTGAGGAGGGCATTCCCAACAAAGCCTTTCGAAATATTCAGCTTTTTTCCCCGATAATACCTCTGTAAACAAGCTATACTAGAGCAAGAATATCTCATATCATCAGGGTTAAAAGCAAGAGTATCCCATATCATGCTTTTCCCTGTCTTTTCCTTTGGTCTTGTTCTTACCTGCAAGACAAGGAGAAAGAGAGCAATCAGTCAGCACTTGGAATCAAGCTTCCAGCCAGGAACTGACTGCCTGGAACCCCTTACCTGATTACTTACCTGGCATTGCTCTCGAGTACTCATCTTCAACATCTTATGCTTCCAGGGAAGATACCGCATCTGCCTGAGGACAGATAGGGCAAGTGAGAGGATACAAGAAGCATGTGGAGGACAAGCGTAGCACACGTGCCGATACATCTACTACTCTATCAAGAAGCAAAAGTATCCATATCAAGGGTCGAACGTTACTCAGATTTGATGGACTTGTTTTGACCCTCATTCTTAGTCGGCTTATACTCTGGAGGAAACCAGAAAACCCTCCAGCCCAGTTCAAAGATATCAGAAGCACTGGAGAAGTGGAAAGAAATCGAGAGAAAAGCAAAAGTATCCCATCTCTCTCTGTTTTTCCTCAAGGAAGATGACCCTTTCAGTCCGAAAGTTATACTCTTGAAGGAAGAAAAGTGAAGGAAGCCAAAACCAGGGGTTTCAGCCAGCAAACCAGCAAATAAGCCTTCAAAAGCTGTGGAAAGTATCTTCAGTATCCCTCATCTCTCCTTTTCTCTTTATCCTTTGCTAGGAGAATGTGAACAATCAGCCGGAGCTCTGATTGCTTACCTTGTCTGTCACCTCTTTCAGCAGATCCCCCAGCTCGGCGACTTGGGGGACTCCTACTACATGGTTTGTATCTCGCTTGACCAAGCATGAAACTACAAGTAAGCTTCAAGTGAAATTGATACATTACCTTGTGCATCTCCACCAGTTACAGATACCACCCCTGGATGGAGGAAGAGTACTTCCAGAGAAGATGCCACATCTACCTATGAGACAGATAAGGCAAGTCAAGACGATACCACACTCCGGTACTTAGAAGTTTCGTGGCTACGAGATCATTCTCCCACAATTTTTCCTAATGTCATTTGTACTAAATCATTCACTTGTACTCACTAAAGGAGAGCTTGAACCTATGTACTTGTGTAAACCCTTCACAATTAATGAGAACTCTCTCTATTCCGTGGACGTAGCCAATCTGGGTGAACCACGTACATCTTGTGTTTGCTTTCCTATCTCTATCCATTTATATACTTATCCACACTAATGACCGGAGCAATCTAGCGAAGATCACAAAAAGTGACCGTTTTCGCTACCTAGGATCTATCTTGCAAGAGAACGGAGAATTAGATGGAGATCTCAACCATAGAAATACAAGCTGGATGGATGAAGTGTAAAAGTGCATCCGGCGTGTTGTGTGACCGTCGTAGGCCACTGAAGCTCAAGGGAAAATTTTATAGGACGGCAATAAGGCCAGCGATGTTGTATGGCACAGAATGTTGGCGGTGAAGCATCAACGTACACAAAATGGGTGTAGCGGGAGATGAGGATGCTTCGTGGGATGTATGGGCACACGAGAAAGGATAAGATTGAGAATTAGGATATCCGAGGTAAAGTAGGAGTAGCCAAAATTGAAGGAAATATGAGAGAAAATCGGTCCCGGTGGTTTGGACATGTGCAAAGAAGGCCTACTGACGCTCCGGTTCGAAAATGTGACTACGGGACAGAGGTTCGGGGCCGAAGGAGTAGAGGAAGACCTAGGAAAACTTTGGAAGAGACCCTAAGAAAAGACTTGAGTACTTGGATCTAACGGAGGACATGACACAAATGAGCGCAATGGCGTTCTAGGATTCATATAGCCGACCCCACTTAGTGGGAAAAGGCTTTGTTGTTGTTGTTGTTGTTGTTGTGGTTTTTGCGTGAAAAAAAGAGACTAGATTTTTAACCTCCCATTAGACGTATTTATACCAAGTACAGCTAGATAGTAAGAAAGAATCTGAACCATTGTCCAGCATTAAAAGGAGAAATCGTGTATATTCGAGGCTGGTGGGAATCTTGAGGTACTGTGATTAAAATCAATGACACGAATAGATTGAAGATTTATCTCCAAGAATTCTACCTTTGCTTTGTGCTTGGATTGGAAGGTGTCTTTTACTGCTTCTCAATCAAGTCAGCAATCATGACAGAGTTTCTAGGAAATACAGAGAAAACTAAGTTAGGGTGAAGAAATGTAGTAAGAGTAGGGCTGTAGGGGTACGTTTCAATTTGCAAAACTGCATTCAGCATATCGATGGAGGTTCCTAGGTATCTCTACGGTTGTTGTTTTATCTTCCAAAACATCATACCCTTTTCCTTCCATTGGTGCTTTAATATCCAGCCACAGGGATCTCCAGGTACTTGATTGATGGTATTCAGTTTTGGGATTAATTTTTTCAATTTGAAAAGGACCAAAACTTGATCAAATAAGAGTAAACTTGTTTGGTCTGGGAATTGGAACTGAATGAATCAATTCGGTTGAAATAAGTTTGACAACATCTCGTTTGAGCCAGACACGGGTTTGTTTTCCACAGTCGGTATTGCTGGGAACAAGGATGTCGTTTCTTGTGATTTAATGGCAGTCTGGAAGTGTTTCGCACAGTCACCTGTTATTTCTCTGAAGTACCTTGGAGTGATTTTTTGGTGTTACAGGAGATGACATTGTCATGACAGAAAATGAAATTGAGCATGAACTAGTTGCAGAGGCAGAGAGTGCATGGGCTCTGCGTGAATGGTCAATCCAGCATGTTTTGTTTCCATCAATGAGGTTCTCTTTCAAGCCACCAAATTCCATGGCTACAAACGGAGCATTTGTCCGGGTATGCTGCATTTCTTTACGTTCCAAGGACGTACCTTGATTTATTACTCCTCAATTCTTGAGATTATTTTATGTATGTTAGGCTAGCTCGGTGACTCCCCTGTACGTTTAATCTTGTATACATATAGGTAGCTTCATTGGAGAAACTATACAGGACTTTCGGAAGATGCTGACTCCATCCATCAGTGGCAAACGGCAGTACACAGAAGGCCCTTGGTTTTGTATAGATGGTAGACGCCATTCATCGGTATAATTTTGGGAGAAAATACTAGTTCTGTCCATGTCAACAGGCATTTGTTTTCTTCTCTGAAGGGTTAGGGTGTACATTACAATTAGTAAAATCGATAAAATTACTTGAGTTTTGAAAGTGGCCTTCATTTTTCTTAATGCCAAAATGCACAAGTTCAATCTGACGTTGGTTTTCTGCCAATCCCGGAGTTCCTCCAGCGCTTTCCAGATATTAGAACTAAAATACTCACCCGTACCCCTGAGTTGTGCGCACAACCCAAGTAGATAGTGTATTGAAGGGCGGATGCACATTGGGATCAAGGTGGTCCCAGGACCACTTAAGCCGGGAAACAAGCATGTGAAGGTTCTTCAAGGACCATCCAAAAATATTCATGAGTTTCTTTGTTTCCTGGGAAACAAATGTTGGCATTTCTCAACAGCACTCGATAGGTTGCATTGGCAAAAGTCGACAAATGCTCTTGATAGCATGCATTAAATTGTTTTGGCATATGTTAACATCTGTTGACATATGTCAACATCGTTCGGCTGAAGACAACAAGCCCACCAAATGTTCGAAGAAATGCTTCTGTGAATAAAATGAAATATGTTTTCACGCTTTGCTCTATTTTTCTATCTTAAAAACATGGACCTTGAACATTAAGATCCACAAGGTTCAAATCCTGAATCTGTGATTGAGTATATTGACAACGTATATTCCCTCTATGTCGACAATATAATGAGAACACACTATCTATATATTATCTGTATAGTATTAGTAGCGATATATTGTTAATACGATATCTACTTGGTTCATAACGCAAACCATGTGACAACCCAAGTGGGCGGGTGAGCAAACCTCGAAATTACAAAGTGTAGCAGAAGACCAGGAGACTAGACTACTTTCCGGTTCAGGTTTGTTCGTGAGGATCACATGCAGGACGTGACGTGTCTAGTTCTTTCTACTACGATGCATGGCGTTGTAGTATCATGCATATCATGCCTGTATAATGTATTAGTATTACCTTGTCTTGAAGGTACGTAGTAAGCTTTTGAGAGATTAGGCTTCTTCTTTTGATGTCCTTTCGATGGGGTAAAACATTTTCAAACTCATAGGATCATTTGGCCCAAAATAAAAGTTGATTTTACAATGATATTGTAAAAAATTAATTACACATCTCTAATAAATAGGGTTCAACTTCTATGTTACGTGGTAGTAAATGTTACGAGTAATAAATTGTTTGGATTTACAAGATCACGATAAAAACAATAATCTAAGTCATCCAATGCTGGTAGCATTTAATGCTACATAGCATGGAAAATATGTATAAGATAAAAATAGCTAGTAATTAAAATTTATAGAACACAAGTGAGAATTATAACAAAGAGTGCCACTTTAAATTGAAAATGTTTTGGACAAATTTATCCTTTCAGAAATTGTCAAAGGACCTAAACAAAGTTCGGAAAAAAAAAAGGCTAAATTTATGGTGCAGCCTGACAAAGAGAAAAATACATGTATTTATTAAGAACAAGAACTTTGAAATATCCACACACAAAATATGGTAAAATCTCGAAGTTTAAGTAATAAAGATATCGAAGATGACAAACCTAAGGCCAAGACAATCTACTTTTAATGTAATTTAACTCTAGAAGTCGAAATCCTAAAATAGGACATAAACAAATAATAAAATACCAAATATCGTAAAGTATCAAAATCTTGTGAGTTTGATGCGCATAGCCGTGCTCTTTGAAATGACGAATCATGGGCTAAAATAAGGGACTTGAGCCCAAATTTGCAAAGGTTTGCTCTTTTGACCCGATTTCGACTTCATCTTCAATACTCTCTACCATTTGATCTATCTCAACTTAAAACAAAATTGACAATGCATGGCTGGATTTGATGCAACGAAATAAACATGTGAAAGAGAATAATTTTATTCTAAGCTAATGTCTTGGAGTAGATTTGAGAGCATTGTACCCAAATGTCAAAAATGAATGCCTCACATGTATAGTTATCAATAATGTCATTTTCTATCACTACAATATAATATTATTTCTCTTCGTTTGTCGTTCATTGTTTCAACCATTTCATTTTTTCCGACCTTCTCGACCTAAAATGGAAGAATCCAACTTGCCATAACGAACTATTTACATCTCTCTTTAATTGCTTTTCTTGTGTGACTTTTTGCAGCAAGTTTGGCCACCGGACAGGTATCAGAAAATTCAGAAAAATCATGACCTAATTTCCGTGTAGGTTCACTTACATTGGATATGTGTTCAAGTTCTTGCCCACACTTTCTAATTTTAGTTTACACTTCAATTTCATTCCTTTAGATCGCAGCCTTGTGCTTCAATATTTGGCCCAAAAATTAAATTGCATTGATGGTTTGATGCTTACCATACAAAACTTTGTCCTCCTGCAGTCACCCTAGCCCTGCCTTTGAAGCTATTGCCAACTCTTGCCAACTCAGGCAATGACCTACAGAAATCAATTTTTTCTTCAATTTATTTCCTTGTGTAAACAAGTTCTTCCATTTTTTAAGAGGTTGGCTCTGCTTATTTTTACGAAAACTAGAAATTTGGACATATATATTTTCTTAAAAGATGAAGTTGGGCCAAATTCTTTTGAATACTTTAACTGAGAAGGTAAATGTTGATCTTCATATCCAATACAACAATTTTATTTTGTTCTACAACAAATTAAAAGGAAAAGTAAAGGAATTGGTATTGGAGTTTGACTTACTAGCAAGTAGGAAAAAAAAAGGTGTCTATCTTATAAGATGAGTTGTGGCGTTTTTCTAGTGTTGTTACTGACATTTTAAAAATTCATCCTGCAGTTCTTCTTACACATATTTTCATATATTTTTATAAATATAGAGTGCATAAAATAATTGTCATAGTGTTAAAGTGAGTCGTTTCTATCCGAGTCTGATTCGGCATCTCACCTCTTGTCACTGAGCTAACCCTAATGCTCTTATGGACGTTTAAACTATATATACAACCCTAATACAAGATCTTATTGTTTTTATTTAATTGTTATTAGAGCAAGGAATGAGGGTTTGAAACTATTACAATAATTTAGGAAATGGGGAGTTTTGAATCCGGGACGCATGGATGGAAATCTTACTTCATTGGACAGTTCTGTACCGGAGTGAATGTTGTTTGAGCAGAAACATCACTTTTTCTTTAGAGTGGTGTTATCCACACACCCATGTTTATACTAGACTATTCTCAATTTTTAGTCATCGGATCAAATGAATTGGAGAAGATCAATGGCCAAAATTAACAAGAGTGTATGAGAAGTAAAAATAGATGTGTGAAATCGAAAATAAACTTACTGTGGAGGAGAAAGTGGGAATTAGATCATTCTATAAATCATAAAACAGTGGTAATACAGGAAAGAAAATAAGACATATTATACTTTTCTTGGTTTGAATTTTACAAGTCCATTTGGCCATATTAATGATCCTTACGTATTGTCAATAATCCACATTAATTCTAATTAAGCTTTCCACCTCATGTTTGTGGTCTGTGGACTCCTTTCTTTCATGTTTTTGTGTCCCACAATTTTTTCTCAGCCGAGATATTTGAATCCATAACTGATTGTTGGTCAAATTTAGATGGATTGTTGTGGTTCTGCTACATGATCGAGCAGAATACAAAATCGAAGGGGTATTTTTTAGCCGTGAAAATTGTATCGATGACTATTTTGACTACAAAGTGGCAACCCTAAAGCTATAAAAAATTTCTCTTTTAATTAAAGGGGGACAAGGTGGCAAACCACAGTTATCTATCCCTTCCGGCCCCGAAGAAGGCTAGTTAGGAATTGCACTCTACTTTTGGCCACAATCAAGCAGATTCACAGTTTACAAAGTTCTATTGTTGAATTGCATATTGATAATTTAGCATAATATGTTATATTGATAATTTGACTATTCCTGACAAGAGTAAATCTTATCGATTATTTGTATACTGTATATATACCGTCAATGTAATATTGTGGGGTTGCTTTTGTTGGAAAGAATTAAAGTTAAACTGAATACAAGCTCTAAGTGTGGACAAATCAAATGACAAGAAAAGAAGAAATTCAGTACAAACACTAATTTTATTCCATTTGACTAAAGCACAGAAGTATACAAATGGACGGCAACATATTACGAAAACAACTACATAATGTACACATTACATCTTGTCAAGACTTAATTCATACCAAATTTAACTCAAGGAATGCAGTTATAAAATACCAAAAATATCATAACACAAAGTAAACTGTTAACTTGCTAACTTTTCCAACAAGTGTTTCTATTGGAAGTTTTCATTATAAACACGCAGCAATGTTGTTAAAAATTCAAGTGCTTAGTGGAAAAACAATTAGTGGTGCTTCTTGAAGAAGCACATGTATAATAGATGCTTCTCTAGAAAGTGGTTTTACAACCTAGAAGGGTTTTTAATTTGTTGTGTCAAACGTAATAAAAAAAACGTAACAACTTTAACTTTTACAAGAGCAATCCCAGAAAGACCTTGAGTTTTTAGGTCATAAGTTTTTTTTTTTTTCATACAATGATATATATTTTACACTAAGGCGTAATGAATTTGGGATATATCAAACAATGGGTCTAGTCATAACAATTTAGTATTGAACTCGCCAACTTAAGACCTCTTATTTACAAATGAAGAAAAAATCACTAAACATAGTGTTAATAGTAGTTTTAAGGTCAACCCTTGGAAGTAGGAATATTATTTTTTTTACAACTATATTCCACAATAAGAAAGGGCAACATTCTACTAGAAGGTAGATTAGCTATGCCATATAATTTGTATCTGAAACCTCTCACTTATAAATAAATAAAAAATATTATTAAACTGTAGTACGATTCAATTGGGGGAGCATTTTTGCTCACCATAATAATTATGGTGTATGCTTACCATAAACCTAATCAATTGACACGTGTCATTTCACCTAACTTTAGTTAACTTTCACATTAAATGTCACCTTTTCAATTTTGAAAAAAAATTAACCAAGATTAAATGAAATGACAAGTGTTAATTGATTAGGTGTATGGTGAGCATACACCATATTTTATGGTGGTGAGCAAAAATGCTCCCTTCAATTGGAAGCAAATACATAAGAAGCATTAAGACAAGGTATGCCAACTTACCAAAACAGAAAAATTAATATTTCAGAGGGCAGTAAATAAAATAGAGAGAAAAATAAATAAACAAAGAGAAGTGAGTGAAGGTGGAATTAAATTTGTATTTATTATCTGACGCAATACCCTTCCTTATGCTCAACTGTCTCAATTACTCTTGCATTTATGTGATTTTAATGGTCTGTCAATCTAATAATATAGTCTCTCATTATTTTTCAATGCTCGAACGACCCAAACCACCCCACAATTGTGTATTCAATTGAGAATTTGAGAGATTTTAATAAATTTATAAATCCATGGATTTTTATGGAGTTTAATTGATTTGTAGAGATTCCATATAAAATTTTTATTCAATCCCCTTGAAATCTCATGGAGAAATGTAAGATTTGTGGATGCTTAAAATACACTATGAAATCTCTCAAATTCCCTCTAATTCTTCAACTTTCTCAATTTCTTTAAAATCAATTTCTAATTGAATACCCGTAGAATGTTATAAATTTCTTTAAAATCTTAATTGAATACACCCCGATTTCTAAAGATTTTAATAAATTATCTTAAAATTTTAATTGAATACACTTTGAATTTCAGAGAATCACTTAAAATCCTAATTGAATACCTCTAGATTCATTAAAAGAATTAAAATCCCTCAAAATCCCAATTGAATACATCCCTGTTGGCCCTAAAAACTACCAAGCCTACGTGGCGCGCAGGCCGAGTAATCTATAAGCTAACTACGTCCTTCGGTGAATGCGGGCCTTGCCAACTCGTCGGCCGAGCTCGGCCAAGGAGTAAATTTTGTTGATGTTGCGTTGGGTGCGCGGCTGACTTCTGCGTCTTGCGATCGTGGCCGAGAAAGGAACACGTCTCGGCCTCTTGGGCTCTCAAACCTGAAGACAAGGTTACTATTCCTACGAAGTTCACGAGTCGTCGTCGTCGGATTCAGTCACAGTGATGTTATTCGTCAGAGTAAACTCCTGCCGAATCGACACCAGAGTGTAAGGGCACAAATATTCAAAGCAAATATAAGTTTTAATGGTGAATGTGGTTCGGCCGTCCGAATGCCGAACTCTAAATCCCACTTGGGAATATCCAATCATAAAATAACTCGGCGAGCAAAGCGCCGAGCTCAATATGCCGTAACACCTCACTTCGCCGAGAAGGCTAATGAGATGACCTCAATCAATAAGGATCCATAAATCCTTCTCGACCGAGACTTGGATAGGTAATCAACCGTTCTCGCCGCAGTGCTGTTGATGCCAACGGAAGATACTGCGAGATCGACTGATTCTACGGTGACAGAGCTATCTATGCCGACTTAAGATATCACCGGTTGCTTCCATAGTGTTGTTGATGCCAACGGAAGATGTGTCAGCGAAAAAGAAAGAAAAAATCTCAAGTTGTTGAGAGTTTGCGCAGGGTAGTTTTGTATTGATTTGCAGGGGGCTCTGAATGATGCGCAGCCTCTTCTATTTATAGCAACGGCTCCCCCCAAGGTCGAGTTAAAAACCTACTCGGACTAGGTCTTCTTCTCCTGATCAGTAACAACTCGACCAGTCCTATTTTCACTAGGATTGTGAACCTAGTCCTTAACCGAGCCAGATTCGCTTCCGGGTCCTGCCGAGACTCCTCATTGCACTAGGACTCGACTTCTTGCGTTATGACCTAGCCGACCTAGGTTTGGAGGCCCACGTACTGAACGATCCATGGTATTCTTGTCGCAAGGCCTTCCGGGCCGAGAATAATTCTATACTCGGCCCAAACTATTATTTTGGGCCCAAATAATCCCTAATTATAATCTGTCGGAAAACAGATATGAATTATTTGTGGGAAATTTTTCAAGTGTGTTATGGATGCTAGAAGTTAATTAACCAACTAACAAGTTATTGCTTCTTTAAAGGTCGTACCCAGTGCACAAGGCTCTCGCTTTACGCAGGGTCTGGGAGAGGTAAATGTCGGCTAGCTTTACCCCCATTTATGGAGAGGCTGCTCCCAAGTCTCGAACCCGAGACCTACCGCTCATGGGCGAAGGCACTTGCCATCGCACCAAGTGCGACCTCTAAGTTATTGCTTCTTTGATTAAAAAAAAAAAAAAAAGGTTATCGCTTCACCACCAAAATTGATATCTTTCAAACTTTGATTGTTAGGGTTTAATGTAGACAATCACGTCATACTAGTTCTGATAGTTTATCGTTGTGAAGAAAAAGCGAGAGTCGAAGTTTGGTTATGATGTGTAAACAATTTCTTTACCACTACTGTTTTGATTGTTGATTTATTGTTGTTTTCAAAGAAGATTGTGAATCAAACATTGGTTATGCATGCAGGAACAATTCCTCCGTCACTAAAATTCTGATGATTATTGTTGTTTTGAAAGAGAAGAGCAAAAGTCGAACTTTGGTTATGGATGTACACAGAAACAAATCTTCTACTAGACTTCTGATAGTTATCGTTGTTAAATTTAAAAGGAAAGAGCAAAAGTCGAACTTTAGTTATGGAGCAAAAGTCGAACTTTAGTTATGAATGCAAAAGCGAGTCATCTATCACTAAAGCTATGCGCTATCGTGGCAACTTTATATGATTTGGTTATGGAATGACGGATAGTGAGTCGTATGTTTGGGTTAAGGTCCCAGGTTGCAATTTGTCCATAATTTGAACAGAAGTTCAGCAAGTTTATATATGGACCCAGTGGGGACCAAAATTTGTCCCCTCTTGCCTGAAAAGCTCGATCTGCAGCTTTTAACCTGAAATCAGATTTCGCTTTCAAGCTTTCAAGCAAAACATGCACTTCAGCTGCAAAAATGAAACACAGAAAAATCTACAGAGAGCTAGGTTTTACCCATGCATGTGCAACTACCTGGTAAGCTGTGATTGGATATGGTAAAACCATATGAAGACAGAAAAAGGAAAAGGCAAAGACAAATATGACCTGACATTTTTTCTCATATGAAAATGTTGGGCAGTTACAGTTAAACCGTTTTACGTCATTGTCTTTCTGCTAAAGGGTTAACAAAAGCAGAAACAAACACCTTTCACCCCACCTACCAAACCCCATGGTGCAAGCCCAATTGCCCATCATCCATAACCTAATTTCTAAGATTAGCAAGGTAAATAAAAAAATAAAACCAAAAAGGTAGTGATATTCTCGCTCCACTCATTTTCAGATATCTGGTTAACAAGGCTCAACCCAATTAACTGAGAATGAATTGAGCCTTGTTTAGGTTAAATATTTTCCGTTATTTTTAAATAGCGAAAAAAGTAGTTGAAATGGAGCGCCAATAGCGCTGCCCCCAGAAGGTAAAAAAGGGATAGACTACTCTAGCACTTAGCTCTTTTAGCACTTTTTTTTTAGTTCCTCCTTGTCCTTGAGGTTGGGGTGGTGGTGGTGGTGGTGTCATGAAGAAAGTCTAGCAAAACAGTGCTCTTGCATTTAGGGCATTTAGGGTCGTCCTCCGAGAGCATCACATACATGAGGCACCTAGGGCATCCGACTAGCACCATGGAAGTGGTCTCCGGGCTGAAATTGTCATCCTGATTCAGCTCCGATGACACGCATGAGCTTGGCGGTGACGTTGGTGAAACAGTTGCCGATCTTCGTGGTGACTCTGCCAGTTGCTGATTAGCCCTCGGTGGTGACAGGTTCAGCTTTAGGTCAAGCTTCGGACCGCCTCCGTTTCGCCTGCTCATGGCTTTGGCATCAAAAAAAAAAAAAAAAAAAAAAAAAAAAAAAAAAAAAAAAAAACCTTCAGCTCTAATTTAAAATCAAGCACACCCAAAATTAAAACATGTAAACACTATGGAATTCAAGAATCATCTATTAGGTGAACAAAACAGTGAAAATAATAAAGTGGTGTGTGACATGTAATATTACCGCCAAAGTTTAAAGTAGTAATATCGCTTGTACCTTACAATTGTCAAGAGGGCTTGTGGAAAGGGAGAAGGAGGATTGGAATATTGGATAACTTGTTTTTGGGGTTGGGAGAAAGTTGGGTTAGGCAAAAACCAGGAAAAGATGAGGGAACAAAAACATAGTCGTTGGGGAGAGGTGGTGTATGGACCTCAAAACACCATATATATATATACACAAAGGGATGTGTAGGGGAGGGAGAGGAAGATGGATTTGCTTTAATGCTTAATTAAATTATGGGGGAGAGGTGGAGGGTATAGGATGAGAGAGAATTGTTTAGAGAGAGAGAAAGAGTGATAGGAATTAAATTGAATTGGATTGAATTGAAGTATTTGGGTAGAAGAAGAGTGTAAATTGAGGCCAGGAAATGTATTAATTGTTGGAAATATCCCAATAAGAATGCAGGAAATAGAAATTTGCAGTAAATATTGCAATTACAAATAGTGCAGCACAGCAGGGGAAGGAAGGGAAGGCATTGCCTTCATTCATTGCTTAGGCTAGTCGGTGTTTAATATCGGAGAGATGGCCAAAAAAAATACAGCACAGGAAAAACCCAACGGCTTTAAAGCTAACCCCTTCTTCCTCCCTCCACTAAATATTAAATTAACAAGCAACACACCAAAGAGAATTAAATGGATTTCTTGGAAAATTGAATTGTAACAACTATGCTTTGTCCAAAAAAAAAAAAGAATTGTAACAACTATAAACTCGATTTTGATCTCATTTTGCGCCTATAATTCAAAAGTCGTCACTTTACTTCTTAAAATTAAAAATTTGCTCCACTTTACTGTGTTTTCGTTTTCTTGTTTCATAGCCGTTAAAGACTAAATTGGAGTGAATTTTGAATTTTAGGAAGTATTTCGTTTTCTTGTTTCATAGCCGTTAAAGACTAAATTGGAGTGAATTTTGAATTTTAGGAAGTAAAGTGACGAGTTTTAAATTTTAGAGGGCAAAGTGGGATCAAAATCAAGCTCCAGATGCGTATCTAAAAAAAAAAGCCCATTATATACAATTTTACCCATCTACGTCAGCAACTTTAACGGCTATTTGACAAAAAAAACCAGAAACATTGTAAAGTGGAGCGAATTTTGAGTTTTAGGAAGTAAAATGACAGCTTTTGAATTACAAGAACTAAAGTGGAATCCAAATCAAGCGGTAACTAAAAATAAGCATAAAAACTATATCTCAACAGCATATCATAAAATGGAATTAAACATTTAAAACACAAAGGGCCATTTAATTTTCCCAACCTGAAATAACATTTCAAGATACGGAAAATTAAATGACAAGCCATTTATCTCCTTCTCTTGTTTTGGTAGCTCAGTAAATACTAAATACCATTGATCCTGTCTTTTAGGAAATTATAGCAATGGTCTCTCAACTCTAATCTAATTGGAGTGATGGTTCTTCAACTAAAATCTTGTGACCAGTGATCCATTAACTCATCAAAACATATAGCTATGGTCAGTTTTGTCAACTCTGTTAGAACTTCTGTCAAAATAAATCATGTGACACGCACGTAAAGCTGAATCAAAGGACAAATAAGGAAAACCAAACGAGAAAAATTGTAGCAATGATCCTTCAACTTTAACCCAGTTGAAGAAATGGTCCCTCAACTTTAACCTTATTATAGCAATGGTCTCAACTTGAACCCAATTGTAGCAATGGTCCTTCCAACTTGACTCATTTTGACAAAATTTTGACGAAGTTGACAAAAATGACCATATCTACATGTTTTGATGAGTTAAGTAACCAATGGTCATAAAATTTTAGTTAAGGGATAATTGCTCTAATTGGGTTAAAATTAAGGGACCATTGCTACAATTTTCTCCTATATTTTTATATATTAAAAGTGCACTGCATTTTTATTTTAGTATAGTTAAGTTGGTAAGAGCAGTGCATTTCTTCTCTGCATCCAAATTTGAATTTCCTTCTTATAATTTAAATTAATTTAGTGTAGAACGTTTAAAAAAACCTATAAGATTCTCTTCTTCTTTCTGGAAAACAAAGATCAAAATAAATTACATTACATCACACGTCTTAATTGAAAGCTCCCCAATTAGCTTAGCTAGTGATATACGTAATACATGTCAGGTGTGGTTGGCCAACAATACCTATCACAGAAGTTATGTTGTTATCAAATCTCATAAAACTACTAAATTTACAGTGCCAGGTGTGTTTCTAGGCCTTCTTTCATTGATATTCGAGAGAGAAAGGAAACTGATATATATTAGGGTTTCTTTTTTAAGTCTAAGCTTAGCAGTGGACATATCTAAATAGACTTTCTAAAGTTAGGTGCTCCCTACAAATTAGGGAACCCCTTGAATCTTCAATTTAACAATATATACACACTCGTATATACTGCTCAAACAAATATGTACGTTTCAGACATAAGTGTAGCCATAAGTTAGTTAAAGGCTTAGAACAGTGTGTTTATCTTACGTACATTCAAAGTTCAAATCATCTTTCCTGTTGTTTAGATAAATTTAGTGTATTTATGCTAATCATATGTTCAAAAATACATCAACAAATATGTAATTACTATCTGATTTTTTTTTCGTTATTTCTTCAATTATGCAGAGAGGGGTAGACTATGTAATTTCCGGTTCATATATTAAAATTGGGTTTAGCATGGTCAATGACTCAATTTGGATGCAATATTGAATAGGTGGGGTGCATTAAGGTGTCCCATCCAAATCAAATTTGCATCACTGTTTTTTTTTTTAAATGACTCAATCTGGAAATTGCTTGTATAGAAGGATAAAACAAAAAAAAAGGTCAGTATTTATAAATATGAAAAGTTCATTTTATTGATTTTTAATGATTTTTATTTGAAAAAATGAAGAAAAAAAAAAGTTGGAATGGAGATAAGAAAAAACGTACTTGTGAAAGTTTAATTTTGCTCATTATGAAACTTCAAGTTCTCAAATTCAAGTGTGAGTGTACTAGTGCAGAAACTTGGGTTGAGTTGTCTGTGCATTGTTTGGCGTTAGGTGAGTTTATATTCTTGCTAAGGGCAGGCGAGTGTGAGTTCTCAAGTGTGCTCTCAATATAGTCATATGGATATGTCATGTTATGTCAATTTGTAGCTTATCTATATCAGTAGCTATTATCATATTGGTGGCTGATTTATATGGTTTTAATTATCGTAGGTAGTTTGTTATTCTCTCCAAAACATTTATGTTGAAATTGATCACTAAAAATTATTTACTTATATTCAATAATCAATATTATATTTTTTTTCTATATAAAAAAAGTTGAGTATTATGTGGTATAGAGCAAATGGTAAATGATGATTTTAAACACACATTAAGTTTCTCTTATGAAATTCCTATTGAGCATTGATGATATTATGAAATCCAATTCGTATATGGTGTTGTAATTTGTAAGAAAAGAAATGGTTTGACCAAAAAAATAAAGAACTGTGAGAAAAATGGTTAGTGATCAAAACATAAGAACTGGCTTTCTATGTCGGAAATACATCATCTCCGGATCTCTTCCTCCTAATTCACCAAGTTCGGGGATCCGGGCCATTGAAATTTGATCCAACGGCTAAGTTATTATAACTTTTAAAGTAGGCCCCTATTTGTAGCCGTTGGATCAAATTTTAATGGTCAGGATCCTCGGACTTGGTGGATTAGGAGAAGGGGATCCGGGGATGATCCCTTTCCTTCTATGTTAGATTCTTGATGAGCTTTTGTCTACTTTTCTCATACATTACTTACAACATCATTACTCCAAAAACTAACACGTAGCATGACAAAGATGCTAAATTACTAATAGGTATTATTATTGGTACTTTAAAAATATCATCATGCCCTCCCCTATATACAAGTTTTCACTTAAGCACAATATGATTCTTTTGGAGCGCACTCTCCAAGTTTGAGGGGTTTCAAAATGAGTCATGAAGTTTCAATTTTCTCATATTGTACCATGATGTTTTGAACTTGTATCAGTTTGTACTTTTTGTACATGGTTGATTTAACGAAATTCTACCTACAAGAGAACAAACACCGTTAGCCTAATTGACAAACACCTTGAAGAAAGGGGAGGGTGTCAGCCAAGGGGCCTCTGATGCCCAAGTCAGAAAAGTATTTTGAGAAAAAAATAAGAACTTGAGAGAGGTATGAGTAGTAAGTTGCGATTACCGTTTCCTCTATTTGACCTGGCTATTTATAGAGACTAAAGCCTAGCAAGCAACTAGGAGGGGATGATGTAGATCATACTAGGCAATCCTTGATGGTGCATGCTAGTCTCCACAATCTTTTTAGCAAGTAGTTCCAAATGTCCATGTTGGTAGAAAACCTGGTTCATCGGACAAGTATAAGGGGAGACTTTGAAGAGTTTGCTTCTTGCCACCATTGGGCCAGGTATAACCCGATGGCAAGACATATCATGGAAGGCCCAGAGTACCCTTGATACGTTGGTGGCCGAAAGGGCTATTACTACGGGATAGACGAATGTCATATACCCATGTGGTAATATGTGGTCTACCCACGACATCAAAGGTAAAATTGTCATAATGAGCTTATGGTCCACGTGTCATTCTCCTATTAGATGTGGTTATGTCTGCACATAATCTAATCTACCTTTAAATTATGTAATAGGTGTGACCCATTTATGGGTTGGTGTCACATTTGAACTATTTGGACCAAATTCTGCAATTAGTTGTTGTTTTGAGATATAAAACATCAATTTAGTAGAAGTATAAGTTCTACCATGAGTTTTTTATTTCCATGTTTGTCTTGCACATTAGCTGGTAAACAGGTCCTAAACTTGTCAAATCCTCAATTTAATAAAGGATCAAACATTCAAATAGCTCAAATGCAACTTTAAAATTTTATTGGTGTAATATGAGAAGATTGAAACTTTGTGGTCCATTTTGAATATCACACCAAACTTGAAGGGTGGAAAATGTTTAATAAATAAGACTCAAAAGTTTTTTGTTGAAAATTTGAGGATCCTATGTTTCTCTTGATTTTTATTATAAGTTGTAGAGGTAGTTTTTAAAGATGTGTGCTATCCACATGCATCTTTTTACTTTTCACACACATTGTTAAATTTTGTCATTTGATATTCTTCAATTCATCCGATCCAACGGCAAAAAATTATAAGGATGAGTGAGAAGTAAAAAGCAGTGAATGAATATCACACCCCTTTCTAAATTGTAGCAAATCTTAGTAATTGTGAGATCTACATGCACCTCATGTCAGCATATTGACGGAAATTAGTCTTGAGGATTAATGCTACTAATTATATAATAAAAAATTAAGTACCTACACATCCGATAATTTAGTTTGAGGACCAAGTTGAGATCGCGTCACAGTTCAGAGACTAATTCACCAACTTACTTAAAAATTAACATATCTTCAGGTGCACAACTGAAATTATAATGTGCTTCAATTTTGCTTAGTCATGCATGCGTACAAACATGAAAAGAAAGAAATTACCAGAAAAAAAATTAAATTACTCACATGTCCTTTTCAATACCGTTTATACC